TAAAGTTCTCATCAATATGTCCCTACTTCATAATATGGCTGGAGCACAGGTCTTGCCAACCATTTAGAACACAATTTCAATATCAAAATTAATTTTTTTTTTTTTTAGGGACGCTCCAGAAGTTAAAAAATAAAAAAAAAAGCACCCTCCCTAACCTACTTTCTGCAATGACACATGTTGAGGGATGATGCTAAAACACTTGTATAAAAAGTATGCTTTTAGGACGTTTCTAATGACAACCTAATTTGATCTTTAAAACAAGTACTATTATTATAATAAAATTAGTATAATTTATCATAAAATTAGTATAATAAAATTAGTATAATTAGTATAATATTCGTATAATAAAATACTATTATTATTCTCATTTACACTGAAAGGCACACCCAGGGAAGTCACATGGTTAATACCGGGCAGAACCAGGATTTGATTCTAACACAGAGTCCAGGGGTTAGTAAACGATGGCTCATGGACCAGATCTGGTCTGTCACCTGTTTTTACAAAGAGTGTTTTTTTTTAAATTTTTTTTTTTTCAACGTTTTTTATTTATTTTTGGGACAGAGAGAGACAGAGCATGAACGGGGGAGGGGCAGAGAGAGAGGGAGACACAGAATCGGAAACAGGCTCCAGGCTCCGAGCCATCAGCCCAGAGCCCGACGCGGGGCTCGAACTCACGGACCGCGAGATCGTGACCTGGCTGAAGTCGGACGCTTAACTGACTGTGCCACCCAGGCGCCCCACAAAGAGTGTTTTAATAGAACACAACCATGCCCTTTGGTGACATCCTTTCTGTGGCTGCTTTCGTGGCACAAAGGCACAGTACAGTGCTTGAGACAGAGACCCTGAGGCCCGCAAAGCCTAAAATATTTACAGCGACCCTTTGCAGGAAGTCTGCTGAGCGAGGGCTAAGCCAGCCTCTGGACCACCCGTAAGGGAAGGCAGACCCTCTCTCCAACGCTGGCCTTGAGCCTCATCGCAGGGAGTGGGGACCCAGAAGCGGGAGGAAGGAACCATAATCCTGGATCCGCTCTATAGTGAGAGGAGGTCCTGGAGAATCCCTGAGCAGCACAGGGGGTTCTAATACGCTTATTTCTCTATAGGCTCCCTGCTTTATTCCCAAAACCTGACACAGGGCCCAAAGGTACGGAGATAAGCCCCACAGACAGGAGGCACTGTTTGTTCTACTCATTGCTGGAAACTTATTATTGAACAAACGAACAGATATATAACTTGTGTTTGTGAATCAGGAACTATGTGTACTTTATTTGAAGACAAACATAGATCAGCTTAAAGACCCACAGATATACTTTCCATAAACACTGGGGCCAAGGTTCTGGCTTGTTTTGACTTTCGGGCAGATAAAGTGCTTGAGGGGGACAATGTGTTACAGAATCAGGTCATTTCCAACCATCTTGGGATTTCTTTGGCTCCTAAAAGCTCTCCCCACTGATCATTCTGTTTGCCAGAATTCTAGAATCAGCGATACATTAAAAACATTTCCCCCCACGTTATTGGATAAATACTAATGCGGTGGTAGAACTGTAAATGCTCGTTTGTTTGGGTTTTTCCTCCATCAGATTGGATGGTTTTTGGTTTTTGGAAGAGGATTTGAAAACCACACTTAGTTAACTCTTTCCAGAAAACAGAGCTGGTCATGGAAAGAATCACCCTGCGGACTAGATGGTACACAATGCCACCGAGTCCTGCCGATTCCTGAAAGGATTAGTCATCATACTGTCTTTTCCCCAGTCATGATTCACCACTGAACTTCAAATTAAACATTTCAGCTGAATCATACTGTTACCAGAGGGTGGCAAAGTATCTCGGATCTCTGAAAGAGCGGGTGGAGGAGAAAAGGATTCAGATGCTGGAAAGCCAGTCAGGATGGCAAGTACGTGGAGAGACACGTACAAAGAAGGGAGTGTGCAGACGCCAGGAAGCAGTCATACCATGGCTGGGGGTGGAGAGGGAGGAAGTGGGGTGGGCATTAGAGGAAGTTCCCCAAATTGCACTTGGTGCAGGTGGCACCCCGCTTGGGAATGCTGGCTGTCACCTAGAACTGCTCAAATGTGGACACGGCCCTTCTGCCTTGGCACGCGGCTTCCCAACAGCTGGATCCGGGGGAAATAATGCCAGTTTCACACTGACAGACCTCAACAGAACACCGTTACACGATAACTCCTGTCTGAAATCAGATCTGGATATTGTTTTTAAAATACAACACAACAGTTGGTTGAGGGTCCGACTTCGGTTGAGGTCATGATCTCGCGGTTCGTGAGTTCGAGCCCCGCGTCGGGCTCTGCGCTGACGGCTCGGAGCCTGGAGCCTGCTTCGGATCCTGTGTCTCCCTCTCTCTCTGCCCCTCCCCCCTGGCTCGTGCTCTGTCTCTCTTCTCTCTCAAAAACAAATATAATATTTTGTTATAATTATATAATTTTATATAATTTTATAAACTAGAAGTATCTTAAAAATACAACACAACAGTTGTCATAAAATTCTCAGCATCTTCTTGACACCGCTATTGAGTGGCTTTACTGCCTGGTCGCCTGCAACTCTCAGTAAAACGAGCTCATGCAGTTCCAGTTAAGTCTAAGGAAGCTGAGAGATGTTTAAAGAAGAAGCCAGAACGCAGCTCACGTGGGTGCTCTGGGCACAGAAGTCTGTAAGCTGGACGGCAGAGGCTCTGGCCCTCTGTTGCACTTGGCCTTGGGCTCGCAGAACTCCGGTGCAAAGTGCACTGCCGGGAGGGAGAAGAGTGACCGGCATGACACAAGTGGCCTCTAACCAGCTTCTAGAGAGAAGTGCAATTCTGGCCTCGAGCCCTCACACCCGGCCCCTTGTGATTTTTGAGTCTGGAACTCTGACCTTTATAAAAAGCTACACTCACTGCCCAGAAAAACAGGAAGGTTACTCGCCAGGAAGCCAAGGAAATGAAGCATAAAAAGTGGGTCAATATTTCCCCATCAGTAAAGCCAAGTCTTGGGTATTTCCAAGAGAGACGCCATCATGATGCCTCAGTACTGTTCTGCCCTCAACTGCATCCCATACCAGCAGATCCTGACCCGTTGATTGCTGATGATCTACACCTATGGCTTGAACATCAGCAAGGCTCCGTTCAGCTTTTCGGCTCCTTCCCTGCCTGAGACGTAGGAGTAGTGCCCGCACTCGGCGGCCCAGAAGTCTCTGGAAGGACTCAGCCCTCACAGAGGCGGTGTGATGCTGGGGATGGGGCTCCTGTCCTCCGCTCGGGGGAGGGGAGGGGCGGAGTGAAGGTGGGAGTACTTGATGCAGCAAGTGAAGGAAAAAATAAATAGAAAAACAGCTATGCCTGGCATAGGTGCTGGAAGCTACCCCAAGCCTTACCCATCTCTGCACTTGAATGCCTCTACGTATTACAAGGCCCCTTCGCAAAGAATTTCATTATAAATAAACATAAACATATGTTATAAATTAATTATATATTTATAAATAAAAATAAATATATATATGTGTGTGTGTATATATAGGTCCCCCTATATTTTTTAGGAGCAGAGATTACAAGCTGATTTCCACTGGCTGAATTTTACCTGTGTTTACACCAATAGATGTGTGTTTGACCTACACCAAGCTGAGTTTTAATGAGCTGCCAATACTAAAAGAAGTCAGAAGATGTCGTATCAAACCATCTGGATTCTTGGCTTCTCTTGAAGAACCAGAAGGTCTGGTGGCCAGAAGGTCCCTCATTTGTGTGTGGCAGCAGTCAACGGGTGCTGAGTAACAGCGGCCACCTTTAGACCCAGTCCACACCCTACTGTCTGTCACCAGTCCTGAAGCCTGCTGTCCCGTGCCACGGACTGCTGTTCCTTGCCATTGACTTATACCATGTGTGACTCCCTCATCCTTCTGAGGGCATCCGGGCTCAGCCCTGACCTTAAGCATTTGCCATCAGCATCCACTTCAACCAAGTACCAGAGTAACAGAAGCACTCTGAACATTTTTATGTCCCTAGGAATTCATTCTACCTCCATATGACCTACGTGTTTCTTTAGCGCAAACTTTTACTTGAGAGAAGGGAACGACGGAGGGAGGAAAACAAAACCATCTGCACCTCATTAGTGTCAGTATTTTCAGTAACCGTTCAAGTATCTGTACACCTCTGTGTGTGTGTGTGTGTGTGTGTGTGTGTGTGTGTGTGTGTGTGTGTGTGTGTGTTTCTTCAGGGTACGGGAATTTCTGGGAATCCTAATTAGCCTGAAGAAGAGAAAGATTCAAAAAGAAATGAACCAGTTACACAGACTGGTATGGTTACTGTACGAATGCCTCAAACAGCCAAAGTGCAGGTGATGAGAGGAAACAGAAAAGATTAAAAGCTGTGACCTGGAAAGTAAGGCAGGTGCTTAGAGAAAAGAACGTTCGTTAAGAGCGGAGGTGTCTGGAAAGTGAAGAGAAGTACAGACAGAGAGGAGAAGAGAAAGAGGGAAGTGAGGAGGAGAGGGAGAGCACAGCAGGACAGGGAGGCGAGACAGATGAATCTGGGACGGAAGGCAAACACAGACCCTCACTGGGAAGGAGACAACGAGCTGGCCTTTTCTAAAGGTCTGGAGCAAAAATGAAGGTGCTGGCTTCATAGCTTAATCACACCCAAACCACCGCCCGAGCTAATGCCAGAGTGTCCCCCTGCCATTTGGAGAAGCACAGTCCTTCTTTCCAGGAGAACACTGCACTTGGAACACTGCCTGTCTCCCCACGGATGTGCCAGCCAATTTCTTATGCAGAAATCACCCGTGCTTATTTCTGGGATAGTTCTGGTCTCTGTTCTCTAAAATGATAATCAGGCCTAGAATGTGAACACAGCTTGCCAAGGAAGGCGATTAGGCGGCGTTTCTGTTCTTAAATATGGAAAAAGATGAACACTTAAGTTGCTTTTTGTCTTCCAGCAGTGTGACCACAAACCCTGGCCCTGCCTGAGGTCAAGCTTTCCAAAGGAAAGGCAGTTCCCGCCATTTCATTGATGTCCTCACCTCGAATTTCTGCCTGAGCTCCACGTTTCCTTCTTCATCTCCTTCTGGAATGGGTACGTTGTAGTACTCACCTTCTTCTTGGTTAAGCAACTTGTACCTTTGGGAGACACGGAGGGAAGGAGAGTTAGGAACGCCACATTTGGGCCGCTACGGATTCAGCAACATCTCTCCTTCCACCTCTAGACCGGCTGTTTCTGAAATGCATCCTGTGGGGAGACCACAGCCAGATAACCTCACAGTCAATGGTCAGTTCAGACCAAAGCCAGTTTGCTGAATCTCTAAGGGCTCTCGCGTTTAGAGACTATTAACCTTTGGATGACACGGACATATACAACCTTGGGCATCCTTACCATCCACTGGCCGGTATCTTCATCAGCTCCGAGACTCCAAAGGAAAGGGATCCCATGAAATCATTCCTTGTGGTTCGATCCCAGTCCCAGATTTCTACGGACAGCCGTCGGTCTTTGTCAGAAGGTTTCAATTTGCTACAAAAGAGCACACGTGCACACGCACAAGGTTATGTAGGCCATCGCTTCCTGGGAGATGCCACGTGCTCATGATAGGAGTCTGACATTCAAACAACAATAGTATATTCAATTCTCTTCCTGTGGCTCCCCACTGCCAACAGAGTACCAGGCCATGGCAGTCAAAGCTCCAGACTAGCAGTCAGCAAACTAGGACCCACAGGCCAAATCTGGCCCACAGCTTGTTTTTGTAAATAAAGTTTTATTGGAAAACAGCCATGACAATTTGTGTATATATCGTCTATGAATGCTTTTGATTTGAGAACAGCAGAGTTGTGTGGTTGCAACAGAGACTGTATGACCCATGTAGTCTAAGATATTCACTATCCGGCCCTTTATACAGCAAAGCTTGTCAACTTCTGTTCTACAGAAAAGAGCTCCCTTTGGGGTTGTCCACACATAAACCTCTTCCCGCGTGTCCTAGTCTACAAGGTCTGTCACTTGCTTGTGCTCGGCTGCAGGCAGTGCTTTCTCTCAACCCTGATGGTTTTATGCCTCCTCCCGCTGCCTCCTTCCTTCTTTCTCCTTCTACCCTCTCTGCCTCTGAAATCCTGGCACTCCTTTAAACCCCATTTTAAACGTCACCTCCTCCAAGAAGTCTTCCCTGTTGAAAGGTGAGGATGATTTTTCCATTTCAGTGGTGACGGCATTTGACTCCTGTATTCCAGGTTTTAACAATTATTATTTAAATTCTTACCTTCCCCTAAACCTCCACAGAACTTAAGTCCATCAAGAGGCGGACACACTTTATACTTTTATACACTGTGTGTTTAACATGAAAGTATTTTTTTGTACAGGGTAGGTTCTGATGCTATTTGGGGCCTGCATTATGTAACCCCCGGTAAACCAAATTACCATCCACCAAACAGCGGTGACAGCAGCGACCTCTTAGCAGTGGTCTGAGATAGTCTCAGTAATGGAGCCATGTTTAAAGGCATTTACAACAGGCCCACCTCGTTACCTCTCACAGTGAGGTGGGCAGCTCTGTGGTGCGTAGGGAGGGAATTCAATCAAGAGGGGAAGACAAAACTTACAACGTGAAGGACTCATTCCACTGGGGGTTCAGTGTGGAGCGGATGGTTTTGGTTTTCTGCTTGCTCTCGTTCTTGGGATCAGGAATGAGTTTCAGCTTCACGTAAGGATCTGAAAGCCCATTTGGATCCATAGGAATTAGATTTTTTGCATCTCGTACTGTGGAGAGAAAAGGAAAAAAAAAAAAAACAAC